TAATCACGGTTATTATAACAAACATCGCAATTTACTTCAATTCATCTTCAATTTATTCAATTATTGTGTTATGGAATTATATTTTAGTATATGTTGATCTTTCCGATTCAGCAATAAAATCAGCGGAAAATCTTACTATATTTTAACATTTGAATGAATACTGTAAAATAGACAATCAATTGGTTTTACTTTATATTGTTGTCAAATATTCAAGTTTATAAAAACTCACTAATAAAAGAAAACAACAATGATAAAAATTATGTTTTTCCAGAAAGTAAATCATCGTAAAGAGAAATTTCGTTACTGAATCTAACATAAGATTATTTACATTACATTACATTTTATTAACAAAAACATTGAAATAAAAGTTATATTTTGTAAAATGATATATTGAAGTGACAATAAGAAGAATGTATATTGAAGATAGATGACGTGAAAGACATGGAAGATAGATATAATACAAGTGATCAAGTAATTGTAAAATAAATAACCAGAACTGACCCAGAAACGTGATTGATATTGGTTGCCAATATGAGATTGATTAAGATGTGAAGAAATCTATTCATGATTGATGGAAATCTAGTTGAATGTGTTAAACGCTTGATGTAATGTAGGATACAAGAGATTTAACTAAAAGATTAGTTTCTGAAATAAATTGAAGAAAAAGATGTTATGAAATTATAAATCCACGAATTAGATTGAAATATTTATTAGTTTGTAAATTGAAAAACTAAATGTTTATGAAATTTATTGTTTATGATAATACTAATCAAAATATTTAGACAAAATATCAAGTTTAAGTGTGTTTGTTACAAAATTAGTAAAATGTTTTCGTTGCACAGGCGTATCTATTTTAAACTAGTATTGAGCATTCAGAATTGCAAACAACCAGTCCAGTTTATGATATTCTCATTTCCCGTTGCAAATATCGTTTTTTTATCGTTTTGCTAATTATCTCTAGTTTTGTTTGTTTTATTATTATAAGTGAGCAATGAAAAGTTTAACTAATTGTGCGCAATTCAAAATAATCACAGCATAGTGCTGCTTCGAACAGTGCGGAAATTTGTTAAAAATTATCACACAAAATTATAATTTTTATGTACATAAATAATTGTTTGTTTGTCTTTATACAGTCAAGTTTTGTCTTTATGTATTTAGTTACTGGATTAGTCCGGTTTCACTATGTGAAGTATTATTGAATATTTTAATGTTTACGTGCCTTGTTTTGTGGACTAAAATTTTCACAGATATATATTTACTTAGTTATGAACATTTTTCATATATTTGTGTTTCACTTTTATTTATTACAAGAAACATTTATTTATTTCAATTATCTGTTGGTAAGAATTATTTCTCTTTCTCTATGAGTAACGCAATTTCTTGTTGAAATTCAATTTATAAAACGGAACGTGCTCTGCAGATGGAAACGAAACGAACGATCTGTCATTCCTAAAGAAAGTTGCGCAACGTTCTTCTTTTTTCCTCCTCTTCGTGGCATCTTATGCCACTCTATTTACAGCAGTGCCGCATACACGCATTTCTTTTTTGTTTGTGCGTTTTATTAATAAAATTCGACAGCCCGGTTTTTGGCGTCGCCACAACAGGTGCGTCGCGACGTCGTCACGCACTGCACGCACGCACGCAATTGGACAGAAGTGGAACGGGCGTCGCGTACTATTAAATTTCTTATGTAGAAAATAGCAAATTCTTCGCTGTTTGGACTGTTGTGCATAATGCGTGTGTACAGGGCCGTTGTGCGCGACTAAAAATAATGCGCCCCACTTCATAAGAAAATGCACGTGAAGGGAAGCAAAATTGCCGCCTCAAAAGGCTGACGCCACAGAGCTTTAGCCCTGTGATTAGGGTTGTCCTGCGTGTGCACATAACGTGCAAAATTTTCTCTCCTTGAGGCGCATTGCGTTAACAATAGTAACATAAAATGTAAATATGTTACATAACAGAACGCTGAAGATCGAAAGAGGAATACGTTTACTGAGCCTTACTTGATGTGTGTCTTATTTAACAAAATCTATATATCCTCGAGATTTGTTATATTAGAGATTACAGCGAGCCGAGTTTCAAGTTTTAAAAAGAAAATTGCATTAATACTGCAAAATATTAGTTTATTATTAATGGATGAGAAATAATTATAGTTATTTCTAAAGTTATGTACATGAAGGTCGTTTTGAACTAAAAGAAGATAAAAAGATGTTTAATTCTTTTAACAACAGAATTTAAACGAGTTTAATTGCATTTTTAAAGTATATATCTTTTAAGAAATTTATACATGAATAAATATATTTAATTGGTATAATTGTATATTTGGAAAAAAAATGTTTTTGTATCATTCCGATAATTAATTATTATATTGTATTAAAATTCTGTTAATCTATTATGAAGAAGTTTGGATTTTATTTAAGATTACTAAAACGTTTTTGTTTCATAATTTTCGAGATTGATCTATTAATTAATTTTGTAAAGTGCTTTTGCTTCTAAGCAGTTCAAGAGTTCTCATATTAGTTTTCAATAACTTTCCATTGTTTTATCCGCAAGTTTCCAAACTTTCTTATAGATTAATTTCAACTTTTTTGTTTGCTCAAATAAAGGGTGCATATTAATTATACAAGCTCTTTTTCTTCAGAAACTTTCTATTGATTTTCATTATTGTATCGTCATCTTCTTGTACCATTAGTATCAATTTTCTCTCCATCTCCTGAAACCATTAACTGTGGTAATGGATGAGTATCTTTGTTTGGTTTTATATTTCTAACTATTGATGCTTCAATGTGCAAGGACGAAGGATGCGGAAGATCCATCAAATTGTGTTTTATCCGAGCTCAACGTTGCGTGATGATGCATTATTGTCACGTCACGGAGGAAACTCGTAAATCGCATTTTCTTACAAAAACTTGGAGCGCAATATTTATGCGCTGATCGTGTCCCAATTCGTTTCTTCGGTTTCCTTCCTGTCTGCAACCAACGCCAGCGAATCCTTTAAATTCCGTTGATATATCATGATTTTCTCTCCTATTTTTCGCTATAATGCGCGAACGTCGTAAATCGCAATTCATTTAAAATAAACTAATGTTTAAGTTTGATTTTATGATATTTTCCGAGCAATATTTTAGTGTTTAATAGCAGTGAAAGTATGTTTGTTATAAGTAAATCCTATCTTTAGCTATAAATTCGTTCAAATGCATCATTTGTAAATTGAGAAATTGTAATGCGAAAACTCATTTCTCGTAGACTAATAAACTATATTTCTGTTGAATCAATTACAATTTATCTTTATAAATATTTAGCAACTTTATTAGTTCACTCATTATTGCAAAATTTTACGTTAAAGATTTTGTGTTCCAAATTCTTCTAACTTTTAGAGTAAATAAAGGAGTTTCTTTTTGATGTTAAGGTTTTCCTTTCGTATCAAACTTTAACAATTCATCAATTATTTAGTTATAGTTATAAAATAATTTGGTAATTACATTATTAAGAAAATATCTTTTATTGTATATTATTGATTAAATGATGTTGAGACGAGTTTCTTGGATTGTTTTGTTATGCAAATATTAATTAAATTGAGAACGGGTTTCTGCAATTTACGTCTCTGGCAATATAGTGTTTTATTAGAGACATTAAGTGTGCTACCCTTGCAAGCGATATCCATTCAAAACCTTCATCCAATTTATCTTCTCTTAAACTACTTGCCTCTGCAGACACCGGCTATGAGCGTAGTTTGCGAATTAATCGCGTCAACATCAATACTGCTTGCACTCACGTTCAATCCAATTTCGGTGATATTAAATTCTGCCTACGACAAGCAATTACCGCTAATACTCTACATACCTGCATTATACACTTAATTGCTTGTAATTCCATAATTCGGAGGTCGTGGAATTAATCTTAGTTTACTTTATTCGTTTAATTTTAATTAATTATTTTGTTGCTATTTAATGCATATTTCTTTTGTATTTATATAAAGAACGAACCTACACGAATTTCAATATTTGGTATAGAATATATTAAGGTGGGAAGTTCTGACTTTCTATTTTAGATGTTTTGATCACAAAACTAAACAATTGAGTAAATTGCTGTGTTGACCTAACAAATCGTACTTTTGGTATTGAAAAAATAAAACAAGAATTAATCTGTATTTAAGGAAAGTACTTTTATTGCATGTTTTGCAAACTTTTAGGAATATCTTGTAGATTACATATATCCAATTTGTTCTATATTTTGAAGATTATTTCTTTTTATAAAATATGAACTTTATTGATAGAAACGTGTTTCAATAAGTAATGTAAATCTGTCTTTATATAATTTAGTATGACAAACTAAATTGATGGAATGGAGATAATATTTGATGACTTTGCTGCTTTTGTTAATGTTAATAGCATTTTAATGATGATATTATAATAAATATTTAATAGTAAGTAACCAATTTGGTGCTATATTGATTGCACAATACTATACGCAATGATAATTAGGGTGCTGCTATTTCCGTACTATATTCAAAATCGTTATAAATGGAGAGAATGTTGATATTTTTGATACAGTTTTTGATAAATAAATACAAAAAATAAGAGGTGAATGAAGATACAGTTGTTGTAGTATAAGATAATTAATGAAGGTTTCACATTAAAAAAATATTAAGTGATTGGTGTCATATAAACTGAAGAGAATGAACATTCTTTGAGTGTAAATCAAACGCAACTAAAGTCTCATTTTCCTTATTGTTCGGTGTTCTCTCCACCATGAACAGACTTCCTTTTTGGTAATGTAATTGTGTTTGAAGGAAAGATAAACTTTAAAAATATTGAAAAAAAACATAGTGCAATGCATTCCTTCCTTCATGGGCGAATAGAACTTGATTTTCAATAATAATCCAACAGGAAGTTGCGTTGCTTTTCGAAGCGTAAATAGATACGGAGATATTACAAATATTGACAAAATGTGTTTGTGTGCTATTCGAATGGATTGCTAATGGTGTGGTTTATTTTTAGGAACAAGCGTTGGACGCGAAGAACCAGGCCGCTTCTCCGGAAGACACTGAGGACCTGTCTCCGCTTCCAACCCACGGACAGCAGCCCGTGCGACGTCGCGGCGGCATTTCTGCGGAGCCGGTATCCGAGGAAGATGCCACCAGCTACGTCAAGAAGGTCGTGCCGAAGGATTACAAGACAATGGCGGCTCTGTCGAAGGCGATCGCCAAGAACGTGCTCTTCTCGCATCTGGACGAGAACGAACGCTCCGACATTTTCGATGCGATGTTCCCCATCAACTGTCTGCCCGGCGAATCCATCATCCAGCAGGGCGACGAAGGCGACAACTTTTACGTGATCGATCAAGGAGATGTCGAGGTACGGAGTAATGGGACACAGCATCCGGAGATGTTAAAGTCATCCGTCTTCTTCCGTTTTTTTTTAGGTGTACGTGAACAATGAGCAGGTGACGACGATAGGCGACGGCGGCAGCTTCGGAGAGTTGGCCCTCATCTACGGTACCCCAAGGGCGGCCACGGTCCGCGCCAAGACGGACGTCAAGTTGTGGGGCATCGACAGGGATTCGTACAGACGCATCCTGATGGGTTCCACCATCCGCAAGCGTAAGATGTACGAAGAGTTCCTGTCGCGCGTCTCCATCCTGGAGTCGCTCGACAAGTGGGAAAGGTTGACGGTGGCCGACGCCCTCGAGCCGGTCAGCTTCGAGGATAGGGAGACCATCGTCAGGCAGGGAGAGCCCGGCGACGACTTCTACATCATAGTCGAAGGAACGGCTCTGGTGATGCAAAATCGGGCGGAGGGTGAAGAGCCCAGCGAGGTGGGCAAGCTCGGCCCGAGCGATTACTTCGGCGAGATCGCACTCTTATTGGACAGGCCCAGGGCCGCCACGGTCGTTGCAAATGGACCCCTCAAATGCGTTAAACTCGATAGGGCCAGGTAATCCATCATTTTCTTATGAAATCACATTATTTAAACAAACTTTATCTGACAAAATTACTAATTAGTATTTATCAATGCAATCAATTTTAATAATTGAATATCTCATCGAGTTAAATTTAATTTTCAGAATGTTTTGTTTTTTGTTAAATTATATTTTTTAGTAATTCATTTTTGATTCGGAAAACACCGCAAAAGCTAAATGTATCTATAACTAAGATTAATAGAAAAACAATCTGCAAGAAGATGGAACAAAACCTAATACACGAAACTTGCCAAGTCACTTTTATAAGAACTTGTAAAATATGAACACAATCCTTATTACAAAATAGATAATAAATATCCATTGATTTTTCACATATTGATAGATTTGCTTTTCAAATATTTCTTTAAAGTAAAACCATTTATTATTAAACATGATTGATTGATGATTATTTGTAATTCATCTAGTCGATTTAATTATTTGAACAATGAACTGTGTTGCTTTTAAACTTTTTTTTCTATCGTGTGCATAATTAATGTAAAATTCGATTGATTTTCAGATTCGAGAGGGTCCTTGGTTTATGCGCGGACATCCTGAAAAGGAATATTACTCAATACAACAGCTTTGTGTCTCTTTCCGTTTAAATTAAACCATGGCAGGTGCTATCAACAATCAACAACAAATATAACAAACAAACAGCAACAGCAGCAGCAGCAACAAATATATACTTATATAGATTTATATATATATAATCTGTGCCTCAAAGAAAAATAATGATGTTTCGATATAAAAAAAAACCGAACTGATTTCAGCCAAATTTTACGTCTTCACATTACTATTTATTTATTGTTTTGTTTATTTTCTATATATATATGTATATTACAATACGCTATATTTTGTGTGTGTGTGTGTGTGCGAGTGAAGAGTCGTAGAAGAGTAATCTCGAAAGTATTTTTTACTACTTGTTGTTTCTTTCTCATATATAATATATTTTGTTTTTGTATGTTCGGCTCTCAGTTTTAGTGCGCGCATATTATTTGTTTTATACGAAACGCATATAAATAAATAAATATCGCGAAGCAACCAGTTCCAAGAACGAAGAAAGGAGGAAGGAGGTGCATACTTAATATTAGTTAGATGTAATGGATGCAACAGTTATTTGTGTTTTTTTTTTCTGTTGCCGGGTAGAAATAATACTAAATGAAAAAAAATAAATATAAATATAAAAATGATGCAAAATATAAATATTGTACGGAGAAATGATATAATAAAAATATATATATATAAAAAATAAATCTGTCGCTAAAGAAATTGTAAAAAAAAACAACAACAACATATATATTATTAATATCATTAATTAATTGATTAAATAATTACCTAATTGTGCGAGTTTGTGTCGAGTTTATTATTGATGTATATAATTAAATTATTTACGTTTTCGTTGTTCAGTCTATACGGTTAATCTATCTTCTGTTTCTCACTTTCTTTGTTTAAATATTAAATATATCTATATTGATTTATATTATTGTTTATTTGTGATTTATAGAAACCCAGATATTTATTACTATTATTATTATATACACACTACATAGTTATATATATTTCAAACAAGCTATATATGATTAATAATAAAGTGCTAACTTCATTTTCTACAAATATCTTTGTTTTGTATCACGTATCACCTTTTTCTTAATTCCTACACAACTACTCCCTACAATCCTATTTATCTACTATTTGAGGAGTCCGAAATTCCTAAATTTCTAGACCCCACAAACCTTTAGACAACTGAATCAGACAACTTCGTCAACTGAATCAACATCGGATCGTCGTGGCCGACCATTTTATTATCATCTATTGTATATGTATATTTCTTAGGTCTACCACTTTCCTCTTAATTATTTCAAAGCATATTTCACGTATCCATCAAATATACAAACGGATACTTGTTGGTGATTGTTTAGAATAATTTGTGAAATATTTTGAAGAACGGTTACACATTAAATCTTATAGTTGCGTCTATTTTATCAACACTCAACAGCCTTCTTCCGCCCTTAAATATTTGGATAGGATCATAAAAATAGATAGATAAACAAACAGTTGTATTTTCCACAAGCTCAAAACTGATTTCTTTACCTCCCACACAGCCCCTTTATGAAATGAACACATTTTTGTATTATATAAGTTAGTTTTAGCTATAGGGTCGAACTGAGAGGAAGTCTTAGTTGGAGGGCCGAAGGACGAGCACTTTCATCCTAATTACTAACTTACGAGAAGAATGTAACTCTTAGTAATAATCCATGAGATGAACTATTGTATAGTTGACTTCTCAATAAAAACTCCGATGTATACAATAAAGTTAATTAAGGATATTGCATTCAATATTCATAAACCCCTCTAAGACTCCACAACGACATAACTACGAGATAATCCACGGTGTCCAGAGATTTCTTAATCCTGGTGTCGTGTCCCAGGGATGGAATTCTGGACACAGTGGAATATCTTCTTCTGGTGTTGTCGTTGTGGAGTCTCAGTTGTAGGAATTAAATAATTCAATTGGTTTAAAACAAGTTCATTATATTAATTGGTACTCTTGGGGTTCTTTCTAAGACAATGTAGATACTTTAAAAGATTGACTAAGACTAATTACAAATACTGATTGTACTAACAAAGTTAATTCTTATTAATAAGGACGGGGTGGGAGTTTGAGGAGTAAGGCACGGTTTTGAGAAGACGCTCCACTTAAGTTTCCAATTTGTAGTTAGGTCTTATCAGTTGAAAATACGAAGAAACGCTGCAAAACGGTCACTGTCTTCCGTGGGATTTGCCTACTCTGCATATTGATTCTGTCAATGACCTATAATAGTCCTCAGTGGTACCTAATCTTTAGTGGTTCGACACAACACTGGGACACGACAGGACTATCGAGATTCTTCACTTGACAAACCAATAAAATTACATGGTAATTCCTCTTTCCTGTACATTTTCTAGAAAATTATAATAATACCCTACTAGGAATGTTCAAAAGGTGGATAATTCATTTGTCGAGATGTTCATTTCTCCTATTAAAAAGACTTATTATTTATTATCTTTAAATTGACGGTAAACTTAAAGAATTATTTTGTGCGTTAACTATATATAATGAGAACATACACAATGCTTAACATTGAATTAAATTATTAAACAACAAACTTAACAAATTGCATCTAAACATGTAATTTTGTACTAGTATATATTATTAAATTGTTAGCAAAACGTAACTACTTAGAGGCATTTTTTAAATCAATTTAGTTATGAGCTAACTGAAAGAGTTTAATTTCTAAATTGAGTTTCTTTTAAAAGTTCTTTATATTCAAAACTAAGTAACTTATTTAATTACGACAATACTTTTCAAATTAAAACCAATTTCAATTGGATCTTGAAAATAATAACAAACTATTTAAAATTACGTCAAATTGTATCGATAATCAAGAATTATTACAATATTAATGTTCAGAAATGAAAATAATAAAAGAAAAGTACATTTTTAAACTCGAAATCTTATTAAAATGAACTTGATTACATTTATCAAATTTCTTCAAGCATTAATCAAATCAGTCCATGCAAATACAACTAACATAAACAATATTCGATCAATTGAGTCACTATGGTAATATACAAAATTGACGTCTAATAAACATATTTTTAGAAAATTTGAAAATACCTGTGATCTATGTTTGATTTAGTTGTTTAGATTTAGTTGCTTGTGCGAAAAGACGACTATATAATTATTATACAAAGTGAATGTTTATCTTTGAAAGTAATCAACTAAAAGTGTTAAAGTTATAAAAGTGCAATAATAATCTTTATTGCAACAATAACAAAAAAACAAAAAGCACAGGGCATGCTTAATTTGTAAGTATTTAACTAATTAATTTATTTTGTTCAATGTAGAGAATATTCAGTTATTAACTCTAAGTTGTGGACAAATGTTCAAAAGTAAGTAAGTAAATTATTTCTTTCTGTTCGATAAATTTACTTTGTATTTCTTAAGTAAATTTCCGATCTCTTAGTAATTTCAACTAAATGTTCGTTATGCAGTAAGTTTTTCCTCTAAGCAAAGCATCTTATACTTTTAGAACTAACTAGAGGAGACGATTCATCCTAATCAATTTAGTCTTTATCAGTTTCAAAATAATTATTGTTTTTTTAAATCAATCTAAAACACAAACATTCCAAATTAGTTTTTTTTTTTTATTAAATACGACTTTTTTTTGTAAAGCAGCGTTTCTCAGCCTAATTTTGAGTTAATTTTTTGATGGGTTACGAATAACAGATGCAACATCAACAATTTCATATTATAAACAATTGGGTCGCAGTATAATTACAGTAAATATGTTAGTATCACGAGGAAAAAAGGATAAGAAATGCTTTTGTAAATTATGACCAAGAATTCTTAATTGTTTTACTTTTGAACTGTTTTGATACACATCTACTTTCGTACTTTATTTGCTCAGTGTCTGCGTATTATTTTTATTTCAACGTTAATTTGTCATTGTTTCGCATGTCAAACACTATCTTGATTGTCTGCAATTAATTTATACAACTTTATTTTTTTCTTGTGAATTTCCATTCGCACACTGAAGAGTATTTTTTTCTAGAAATTTAATTGTGATGACATTAATTGCATGTTGCCAAAAGACCATTAACTATATCAGAAAGTCTTAGACCATGAAATATCGACTTATACCCAAGGAGTGTCCACATAACACGGTATTATGAATATATTTACTAATCTAATCAATATGAGTAATTTACTATGAAATGCGGCCATCCTCAATTCCATGATTTAGGCTTTCTTTATCTACCATATTTGACATTCCCATTTCATCTTCAAATGAAATAAAGACATATAGATCATATATAAATGTTTTATGATGATTTTTATTTAATGTTAGTTAAATGAAAAATACATACATTTATAAAAAATAATTAATATCTTTTCTGTTTTATCAACTTACAAAGGTTTTACATGATTCTACTATTCAACTTTTAATTTAAATAAAAATGTTAAAATAATCAATTTACATTTTCTTCCTTTTTTTAAATTCATTTATTATTATATATTTGACGTGAAAACGCAGCACTTGGGCCGTTTCTTCGTCTCATTAGAAGGCGATAAGCATTTTCGCATAGAATTCCTCCGAGTTCTGCAAGGGTGGAAATATTTCGTTCAAATTGCATTCCACGATTCGCGCACACAGGAATTTACCATTCGGATCAATTGGAAATGGAGAATTTTAATAATTTCACATTCGCATTCCTCAAAATCTCCCTTTATTATTATAAATAATAAATTAGAACAAAGATATTGACAACAAATTAATGAAAACGTTGCTTTTCTAATTGTTAATTTAAAAAAAAATGAATTAGAGTTTCCAAAAATAATAATCATCAATAAATACATTTGCAAATTAAAATTTTCCGCATTCAAATCTAATTAGTTGTATGTTTAAACTGAATTGAAAGTTAATTTCATTCATGAAAATGTAAATAAATTCCGATAAAATGAGGTTTGCTGATGAAAATTGCTGTAATGCAATAGGGTGGAGTATGGATATATATAAGGGTAAATTCGAGCGCCTCGAGCTTAGTTTTCAACGAGCCGTCTTCGTGGAAGGACGATGCGAACTTGGTCGAAATGAAAGAAATATTAATCCTTTTCCTGTTTGCTCCATGCATGACCCACTGCTTCCAAGGTAATTCTAACTTTCGACAAACAAACATTTTAAAGCTGAACTAATTTTGAATGGTTTTGTTCTCAGTTTCAGGATACGATGAGGTCTTTCGCATCGCTTTGGATCACAACAATTCCGTCACGTTAAACTGGGCTCTGGATTACACGAAGAAAATTGTATGGTTCGAGGTTCATTTACCAAATGACTTTAGTTGGTTCGCTCTGGGCTTCTCCGACAGAGGAGATCCGTATCCCGGAGATTATTGCGTCCTCTGGAAGGATTGGAAGGAAAAGTTTCATTTGGAAGTAATTAACAAATTTATTGATAAATTTTAATTATTTTACTAAATATTACTAATTTTAGGACACTTGGGCCGAGGCGGATGGGGTGTTGAGGTTGGACGCGCATCAGGATTGCAAGAATTTCCACATCAAGGAAGACGAGCACGAAGTGATCAAGTTGCTTTTCTCACGAGATTTCGACACTTGCGATGAGCAAGATTATATTATTCAGGTTTAGTCTTAAAACTGTTGCTTGGAGTTGGTGTGCATTTTAATATGTTTCCAGGATGGCACCGTTCATCTCATTTGGTCTAAAGGCATGGAAAATTTGCACCATGTGAAGGGATTCAACATAAGCAGCACTGATTCCGGTATGACGAGGACACAGCTGCTTAAGAACACCGCTATACCGAAGAAACAATTCTCGAAGGACGTCAAGAAACTTCCCATTCTTGCAGATAAAGTCAACGTTCCTGATGACGAGACAACTTACTGGTGTCACGTACATAAACTTCCGGATGAATTCAAACAGAAACATCATATTCTCCAGGTAGATTTATTACTATTTCTAATATATTTATGAAGCTAGAAATGTCTTTTAGTATGAGCCTTCCATCGAGGAAACTAGTCAGGGTTTGGTACACCACATGGAAGTGTTCCACTGCGTAGCGCCTCCAGATCAGGAATTTCCTCAATATAAGGGTTCGTGTTTTGCTGCGGATAGACCAGAAAGCACGCAACTCTGCAAAAGGGTTCTCGCTGCATGGGCAATGGGCGCGAAAGCTTTCACATACCCCGATGTAAGAATTTAAAATATTCAATTTCAACAATAACAAAAAACTATAAATAAATATTATTTTTAAGGAAGCTGCTTTGCCGATTGGAGGTCCTACTTTCAACAGGTACATCATGCTCGAAGTTCATTACAACAATCCTCAAAGGCATAACGGTAACTGGATACTGAATATGCAATATTACATTTGTATTAAAACATATTTGTTGCCTTTCTTCAGGTATTGTGGATAGTTCAGGAATCATATTCAGTATAACTTCAAAGTTGAGACAGATGGATGCTGGCGTTATAGAACTTGGTCTTGAGTACACGGACAAAATGGCAATTCCTCCAAAGATGGACTCGTTCTCTTTAAGCGGATATTGCGTTAGCGAATGCACAGCAGTGGTAATTCCCAATATCTGAAGATCATATTATGTCATAAGATTTAAACTGCCAACATTTCATAGATTTTTATTAAGTAATTATACAGGTACTAATTATGTACATTTTCAGAGTCTTCCACCTGAAGGTATTACCATTTTCGGATCGCAGTTGCATACCCATCTGACAGGTATAAAGGTCGTGACTAGGCACATCAGAGATGGCATCGAGTTACCGGAGATCAACAGGGATGATCACTACAGCACTCATTTCCAGGAAATCAGAAGGCTGAAGAGGACTGTCAAAGTTCTACCGGTTAGCCGATTCCTTAATATATAAAAGAAAAAATGATTTTTTTATTTGATTTAATGGATGGAAAGTATCCTTGGTGATTTATTAAATGTTATCTAGGGTGATGCTCTTATAACAACATGCTATTACGGTACCAAAGAAAGGAGTAACATGACGTTGGGTGGTTTTTCCATAAGCGACGAGATGTGCGTCAACTACGTGCATTATTTTCCTGCGATCAGTCTGGAAGTCTGTAAGAGCGCCATCAGCGATCAAGCGTTGAAGACGTACTTTCAGTACATGAGAGAGTAAGGATAGAGCTTCATAATATACTTTAATTAACTTATAAATTTTCAGATGGGAAAATCAGGATACCGCAAAAACAGCCATCTCCGACAATTACCAGGCCATTGAGTGGAACAGGATGCGTGTGCAACTTCTTCGGGACGTTTACGGGGAGGCCCCGTTGAGCATGCAATGCAACATGTCCAGCGGAGACAGATTCCCCGGTTACTGGGAGAATACACCTCTGACACCTATATTGAGACCGTTGCCTCCGCCCGTACGCCAATGCTTACAGTAAAGTGTAGAAATATAATGAAATATAGTCAAAAGTAGTTAACAGAGCAAACGATTCTTTAATTTCAATCATCAACTGATCTCCCCGACCATTTCATTCTTTTGACCGTTCTTTGGCGGCGGATTTGTCGTTATTATGTTCACAACACTCTCGTATCCCTTATGCATCACATACTGAACATCCAATACTGTCCTTCTCTTCAGGGTCTCCTGAACTTCCTTTTGTTCGAAGGCCAAAGCTATGGCCTCGTCCTTGCACAACATCTCGATCTCTTTTCGTGGAAACTTCATCACTGCATTCTCACACCCGTTCACCTAAATATAAAAAAAATTAACAAATATTACAAAATTCCAGCCATTTAAAATTCAGTTATAACTTAATTAAAAATAACATTTTCATTGATTTACTAATGATTCAAATACCTGAAAGACTAGATCCAAATTATATTCGTAATCAATGTCGGGCCAGGTTTGCTTAAGGATATTGGCGTTCCAATCGATTTCGTTGGATTGATTAAGTCTGTTGGGCGCAGAAAGGAATCCCGACCAAAGTTCGGAAGCGAAATGCGGAGCGATCGGTGCCAGTAATATGATTTGGCAGGCCAGCGCCCTTTCGAACTGGTGTCCTCGGGCGAATACTGAAGGCGGCGCTCTCTAACGGAATGAACCAATCAAATTAGGGTAATCGAGAGATCGGAACCATTTTCTATCATTACCCTGAGGCTATTGGTTAGTCCCTGCATCTTGGAAATGGCGACACTGATCTGCTGCGAGTCGCAATAATTGAACGTAGCTCCCTTTACATAGTAATTCCTGGAGTCAAACATGTAGTCCTCCTGCGCTCGAAATTCGTCTTGGGACGAGATTTCGGGCATTGCCGTACGGTGCTTGATGAAATCTCCCACCGTCAACCATAACCGCCGTTGCCAGCCCAAAATACCCGGAAATGCTAGAAACCAGAATGAATACAATTAAAATTCTAATTACAAATTATATTAGATGATATACTTACTGTTACTGTTCCAATTTCTATGAGACGTTGGAGCAACATCTGCGAGTATAAGCAACCTCGTAGTATCCACTCCATATTCCTTAAACATATCCGAAGGATCGACTCCGTTATGTTTGCTTTTACTCATCTTCTCCCACTGCATCGTAACAGGTTCACCCGTTTCCTTTTTCTCTGCTTTATTTTTCTTAACATCTAAAATCGCATAATTCATAAATAACACATTCACCTTTAGCAATTAACAAATGATCTTACTAATAATATTAACCATGGATTCGTGCAAATATTGCCCGGTTCCTTTAACTCTGAAACTCCGTCCCATCACCATGCCCTGGACCAATAACCGCTTGAATGGTTCCCTCTCCGGCAGTAAACCCAACGAATGCAGAAAATGACTTATAAACCGAGCGTAATACAAGTGCAAAACCGCTGAAAGAAATTTGAAACTGTAGATAATACTAAATTATCTAGTCATTTTTACAAACCATGTTCTTTGCCGCCGATATACAAGTCAACAGGAAACATGGTCTTAGCCCTTTCAACATCGAACATATCCTTCTCGTAATTCGGATTCAAATATCTCAGAAAATACCATGTGCTGTCCACGAACGTATCCATTGTATCACTTTCGCGTTTCGCTGCGCCTCCGCATTTCGGACACTCCGTCTTCAACCATTCTTCGTTTTGGGCTAGCAAAGATCCAGTTTTAGTCGTACTCGTCGATACTGGTAACTTTACTGGTAACTGTTCTCTAGGTACTGGCTGAGGTCCGCACTTATCGCAATGGATGATGGGAATGGGCGTGCCCCAATACCTCTGACGAGATATCAACCAATCGCGAAGCTTCGCGCTGCTAACAAAACCTTTACTCTTAGCCTTATCAATGTCTGGTTCTCCATTTCGTTCGTAGCTTAAATTGAAATTATCCGCAAACTGTTTATCTGCTGAATTCACCATCGGAATACCTAAGTAAGTGTCACAAGATTCTTGATACTCCAAAGAGTCCGTAGCCAAGATTGGAATCTCTTTCCCGTTCAACGGATTAACGGCTTTTAAATCCAACAATCTCGTGCTTGCGTCCAAATCGCTTCCTGCGCTCGCTCCAAATTGCGAAGCCTTTCTCACAGCTATAAAAGCCGCATGTTCCATGTATTCCGGCTTGTCGCTCCACATGCTCAAAAAATCATCTTTCCTCCCCACCAGTGAGAAATCAAGGGAAATCCCATTGCACTCTCCAATCCAGTGCTTCTGTAGTTTAGTGATATCCCTCCAATCTTTCAAACTGGGATCATCCAATCCATCCAATAAGCTTTTAGCGAACTTCCGCGTTTTCACGAACCACTGCCTCAATGATTTCTTCTCCACCTTAGCACCAGACCTCCAAGATTTTCCATTCTCATCCACCTGTTCATCAGCCAGTACAGTCTGATCTATTGGATCCCAATTCACTTCTGCCTATTAAAACGCATTCAAAATAACAATTCAAAAATCACTATGACAACAGATAATACCTGTTTCTGATAGACCAATCCTGCATCATACAGTTTCAAAAACAACTCTTGAGTCCACTTATAGTATTTTGGATCACAGGTGGCCAACTCTCTGTCCCACTCAAAACTCGTCCCCAATTGCTTCAACTGTTCCTTCATATATTTGATATTCTCATAAGTCCAATCACTTGCCGCAACATTTCTTTCAACAGCTGCATTCTCAGCCGGCAATCCAAATGCATCCCAACCAATTGGATGTATCACCTGATTGATAAATATACATTAATAATTGATTCATTTGGCTCGAAACAAATAACAAGAACTAACATTTTTACCATTCATTTTCTGGAATCGAGCAACTGAATCGCTGATTGTGTACACCCTGACATGGCCCATGTGCAGATGGCCAGAGGGGTACGGGAACATTGACAGCACATAATACTTTTCCTTATTGCTCTTTTCATTGTACTTTTCCACTGGCAACTTATTCCGCCAATGATTTTCTATTTTATGCTTAATTTCAGGTGTTAAATCTTCATTCTAACATAAATAAAAAGCAAATTTTGCAATATTCATTATACTAAACGATTGTTACGAAACGTACCCAAATATTCAAACCTGATATTGACCTGTAAATCAACGATTTCTTAAGTTTAAAATAGTTAAAGGGTAGAGGTTTTAAATAAAACATTTTTCTAGGTTAAATCATTAAAAGTTCATTGAAAATATTCCTGCTACAGCAGGATTTGTGCATTTGTGATGATAGATGACGCTCATATCGACAATACAATTTTGAACATTTTTTGAATTTAAAGAAACTTCATTCTCTTTCTTCACATTGATTAAATTCTTAAAAAGGTTAATTAATTGAACTCATTATTTAATGAACTGTAGTACTTAACCCAAGCAACAGCTAACCTTCTTGAGAATGATGAATCATGCAAATTTAATTCAATTTACAATTTTTTATTAGAAGAAAAGTACTAAATTAGTTAATTTTAACAAATTTGTTATTGCTACCATAGATTATTTATCATAATATTATTTACATATTGAAAATTTCCAATAGGATTTACTTAAAAAGTGAACAAAAACAAAGAAATTGTAAGTGTATCAATCTAATTTCTACAAGTAGGCAGAAAATTATGTAACATTCTGGAAAAATACTTCTTAATGTATAATACTATTATATAATATTGAAGCTTTGGATATCTATAATCATTATTGTATTATTTAAAATCAATAGTGAATGAAATCATAGTAGAAAAGTGTAGAAACTATACAGATACTCGATAAAAAACAGTTGAATTTGTAAATCTGTACAGGATAAATTGAGATAAGTAACAAAATATGTATGCGGCATTGAATATTAAAAAAAAAAACAAGTAACGCACGTATTGATAATTGTCTTCTGCAAGTCATAGTAATTTTTGAAAATTCAAATTTTTACACTAAAGAAATATCGAATTTCCTCTTTATTAGTGCATGTTTCGAGTGCAAGAAAATAATAAATGTCTAGATTTAGTATTTGCAAATACTTTGCGATTCTTTTGGTTCGTTTAATTGCAGTTCTTAAGTAATTATCTGCGTTTAAAAATGTTGTTTCCCGCCGTAGTTTTAAACATTGTTTTAATACATGAATCGACCACGAAAGTCGCCGCCGTTGCGCTCAACACAACTCACTTTCTTCAAGAAACATTGTCAGATGAAAACAAGTGCAGTCGTTTTTCTCTGTTTGTCCGTCACTGATCGTTTTGTTTATCCGTTCGTAGATAGAAAGTATTCTATGTGCGTTTGCTCGAATTAGGTAGACGAGGCTGAGACCTAGGTAGTGTGTAGCTATATTAGTCTTATATTTTATTAGCATGAAGTATCTAAGCAGGTAAAAACTAATAAGCAGAATGTGTATGAATTTTTTTGCGCCAAAACGTAGATATATATATATTTTATATATTCACTAGCAAACAAAAAAATAACGTGATCAGAGCTTTAGTCACACACAAGCAGTTAATTAAATTAGCCTTTTGCATGTACCCTAATAATCCTATAAGACTTCTCTGACATCAGTTGGCTATGAAATGTTGAGAGTGTGTCGATGTTGCAGGAAAATTCCCAGCAAGACTTTGCTGGTCTACATCCTGTTCCTTCTGTCAATATATACTTACAATGAGGTGTACCAGTATCATTCGAAGAAGTGGAACCAGCTGGACTGCAAGCAGAAATGCAACAGGATTTTGCTTGTTGCTGACCCGCAACTCATTGGACTTAAGAATGAGGTGTTGCACTTCTTGACACCCCTTACTATTTGGGATAGTGATAGGTGATTGAAACTACAACATTATGATAAAAAAAATTCAAACTCTTTTTTTTAATAATATTATTATAAACACAGTATTTCACTAAGATTACAATTTTCATAAATTTCAGGTACCTAAGAAAAACCTATGAAGATGTCTACAAATTCACCGAGCCGGACATAGTGATCTTCTTGGGAGACCTATTTGACGAGGGCTCTACAGCAACCAACTCAGAGTACAAATCTTACGCTGATAGATTCTTTAATGTGTTCAATATACCGTCCAATTTCGCTAAAGTATATGCGTAAATTCCCTCTGTTTCTGAGATTCATATTTAAAAGAAAAATATGATTTTCAGACTATTTACATTCCTGGTGATAATGATATTGGTGGCGAGGGCTACGAGATAGTCAAAGGAGATAGTCTCATGAACTTCGAGGATGTATTTTTCCAGCAGGATGTACTCGATGTAGGGACGAACACGTTTTACAAGATAAACAGATTGACTAAGACATGGCCTAAGATGCAGGAGGATAAGGAATTTTATAAGGTTGATAAAATTCGTATAGGTTTGAGCCATGTACCGTTGATCTTTCAGCCGGGAGGTTTCGTGGAAAAGGTACGAATATCGGCGCATCTTCGACCTGCATTTTAATGCAATTCAATTTTCAGGTAATCCGTAATCTTGAACCGCATGTGATCTTTGCGGCGCACGAACATAAATCTATGATCGTAACGATGGATGGAATTCTGCAAACGGTCAGAAAACTTATACCAGTTTCTGAAGAGGACAACGACGTGTACACCTTCACTTTGGGTATGACCGATATGTACGAGTTCGTCGTACCTACTTGCTCTTACCGCATGGGAACCAAACGTATTGGATATGGATTTGCGACTATCGGTAAATAAATTTAAATTAGAGAAATAATTTGATAAAGAAAACGTAAATATTTTGAAACTAAACATTTGATTTAAACATTTTTTTTAAACAAAATTATTTATTATTATCGTAATTATTAATCTTAATAGTAAATGAATCAAATCAATTTAGAGAAATTAAGAATTATGTGAATGCCTATATGCTATTTAGAAATGTGTTGAAATCATTTGTAATTATCAGATATTAACGTTTCATAAATCACTTTTGCTTGATTAGAAAGTAAAGTATCTCGATTTTCAACGTTAATCATTTAAATACTAAATGGGTCCATTATATAGCGTTTCTTTGACACATGTTAATGAAACAATTATCATCTAATTTTATAATTATTGATTTGATATATGAATCAAATATGTAACATTATGATGGTATGCGTAAAATTGATGTACAGTGGAACCTTGCTTAACGAGTTTAATCCGTTCCAGCAATACGCAGGCGCGCAATCCGGGAATTCTCTTCTCATCGTCACTCGTTATGAGAAACGTCGCTCGTTAAGCGAGTCATTTTTCTTACAATTAATTTTGCTCGTTAGGAGAGGTTCCACTGTATTTATAATTAATTAAATCGTGCTCGTTGCACAACGCGACGAACATTACGTAAGCGTCGAATACAGAAGATTAAGATCAATTTGCGAGCGAGAGAGCCAAATTGGAATTGATTGAGAGTGCGTTTCAGAAAATGGAGAAATCAACTACACCGTCCTCTGGTCCCCATCCAGACTAGATCAGCTCAAGAATTACGCCTGGATCGGAGGGCTTTCGTTGATATATTTCTTGTACAGATGCATCGTCAGCGCTTGCAAATACTGCTGCAAGAAAACCAAAAGCTCCACCTCGTCTACGCCCTCCTACATAAAAATCGAGAACCGAGAGAATTGACGTTCCTTTTTTTAATATTATTATTTCCTTTTTATTTTGTCCAGAGATAATTGACGTTTATTTTTTTTATTATTATTATTTTGTCTTCGTTCCATAGCAAAACTCTTTTTAAATAATGGAACGAAATTTTTAGGAGACAAAAAGGGACGTTCGCCGGAGAATGAACGCCCACCTCATGTTGCTACATAAACATGAAGTCTCCACATCAATCCTATTTGTTTTATATAATAATATTGTGTGCGTTTTAAAATATTTACAATTTCTGGATACTATTGCTATGCGATGCGGACTAATTGACTAATGGATCTGAAGATATGAATGTTTACATTTCATATTGGCTTTTTATTAATGAAAGCTTTCGTGTTTTTCGTGTGTGTTTGTGCTTTTAAAAAAAAAGTGATTTTTCGTGTTACCAGATCTGAGATGATTTAGCGTCTTGCATAAGTATTATTTTAATTTTGTCGTGTGTTTATTGTCTTTCATCGATGTTTTTTGTGCTTTGTCGTGTGTTTTGTCTAATCCAGTGGTTTCCAAACTGTTCGTCACTACACCCCCACCCGTTTTAAAAAAAAATAACCTTGGCGCCTCCCCTTGTTTGAAAAATGTTTCAAATTTAAGCGTGGAGTGACTTCCAAATTTTTTATTCAATTTATATCAGACTTTCAATATTTTTCCAAATTTGAACGGGAGGGTGAATTCCAAAATATTTCATAAGTGCCATTATGAATTATATTTCCAGTATTTCGTTCGCGCCTCCCAGTTTCGAAACCGCTGGTCTAATCGATGTATTTTATCATGTTTATCTAATTAATGTGTTTTTCGTGTGTGTTTTTTTGAATTATTGTAATCAATGTGTTTTGTTTTGTTTGTGTTTTTTTTTTGCAGTGTGTTAATGAATTAATAAAGTGTTTGAACAAATAATTCATTGAATTCTTTTCTTTATTCAAGTTTCAATTCACACTCGTAATAACTGCAATCATAATCATATGCGCTGAGAAGAAGCGGAACTCCAATTCGAAATCAACGTTGCCTAAACAAAAGGGGTATATTCGATCTGTTTTGTTTCTTCGTCACTACCAAACAATCAATACAAAGTCGTCTCGATCGTCTTTCTTCTGCATCATCGTCATCGCTTTCGTTACATCCATATCTCTTCTTGCCTCATTTTATATTTCATATATATCACTATAATCTATATATTTATATACGCTTAAAATCTATACATTTACAATTGTTGATCAATAAAATAAATTTAATCGAAAAAGAAAACGAACTAAATTTGGAATTCTATAAATAAATCACATAACGTAAAAAGAATAGAGGAGTAGGAGTTATGGTGAGGGGGTTGGGGGGAAGATAGGTGGCGGTTAGGACGTACTATTCAAATTAACATCGTCATTACACGGAATCATCTGCAAGCGAAGTAATAATAATCGATTAGATCGAATTGCAACTAAGCCTTCGCTTCTTTACGAACTTACCGTGATACCACCATTTTGTTTTCTTTGGGTTCTTGTTGCACGTTTTCACATAGAACGCATTGTCGGGAGGCCTCTTCTACAACAGACGAAAAAAAAATCCATTTTTATTATCGAATCAAACAGAAACACAATCATTTTCACTTCTTCACGGTACTTAAATAAAATGTGATTTGCTTTAACTATCTTCATTATTTTATGCTAAAATCAACGTTTTAATAAATATTTTCAATTAATTTTATAGCTTATCTGAGTTGTAATTAATAATTATAAATAATCACAAATCGATATGCTTTTACAATTGTTGTCCGGAAAGTTCGTGCCGAATCTCACTAAGTACAATTGGCTATACTTAAATACAAGATAATTGTTAAAAATAATTATTTTGTGTACATATTCTGACTGTTTTTAGAAAAAAAAATATGGTTCGCATCAAATAATTTGTGTCAGTTTAGTTTCCTCTTGAAGATTAATGAAATAAAATTCAGACTTTTCTATTAGACAATTAGGAAAGTCAAAAATGCCACTAAATAAGAAATATTCTGCTTTAGTTAAAAGAACTGAGCTAAAGTAATTCGCTAAGTTCTGAGCTGGTGATTTCAGCCTTGAAGGTTTGCTAGTAATAATGATGAAATCATTAAATTGATCGAGAATAATCCGCACTACATTAGCAGATACAGTGTAACCTCGCTTAACGAGTTCCAAAATTTCCCGATGTTCGTATAGCGAAACATATTAAAAAATACACAAGTTTTAAAAATGATGTAGCAGGCGCACAATCCGGGACTTCGCTTTTCATCGTCACTCGTTATGCGAATCGTTGCTCGTTAAGCGAGTCATTTTTCGTAGAATTCATTTTGCTCGTTAAGCGAGGTTCCACTGTATATTAAAAATTACAGCCTACATTTTTGTTGACAAAAAACCTCTAAATTCTAAGAGGATGGAATGTTTAAGTTGTGTTTAAGGTGTAACGTAATTAAAAATGTATATAAAGTTAATTCATTTTCTTGCAAAATCGGGACACACTTTCCGGACAACTCAATTTACAACATTTTTTTTTTCATTTATTACTAGATGATAAGTATCTATGAGTAAAATAATCCATATTCTATTTGCACAAACAAAAATTAAACTTGAGTTTTGCATGAATCAATCAAATGTAAATAATATAATAAAACGAACATTTTCTAAGTATTTTATGCGAATAAACAACGACGTTTCAAAAATAAAACTGTTTACAATAATGTTAAGATTTAACATTTAACGCCCACGAAAATTGAAAACTTATTCGCAAGTGAATGCGGAGCTCTAAAATTAACGCGAAGATAAAAAGAGAAAGTTATGAATCAACAAGCAGTCGTCTTTAACAACAATTCACTATCATTGCACAATACATATCAATTGCGTTGGCGTGATATGGAACATGATGGGCGTTTAATGAATTACATAAGAAAATTCTGCATTTCTCCAAAAAAAAAAAAGGATTATTTAAATTCAATTATTAATATTTTCAAGTATTGCATCATTTTCAGTATCTTTCAGATATAATAAAGTATCTTAGCATTAGTATTTGAACACATTTCTTCATTTAAACACAATAATTTATAATTTTGCATTTGTAATCAACAATTCCAATGGGAAAACTTAATTGTAAAATGTTTATTTTAGCTTTTTGTTTTTGCAATTGAATTGCTCTTGATCTACAAACAAGTGTGACTGAAGTTAGAGAAAGGTGCATTTGGCACAGATAGAAAACTCGTCATTTTTCGTTTGAACGAGTTTCAACAAATAAATACATTTCACCTTCAACACAATTTTCCAATCGATAAACGAACAATATAAAAGAAATACTTAGTATTTACAAACAATAGTTCTACGATTATGCAGTATTTATCAACTGCAAAATGAGCCATCAATTAATTATTTAACGCCGATAATACGAAAACCGTCCATGGAAATAATCATATTATAGTCTAAATACATATTAAGTATATTATAAATAACGGTAATTCCGATCGACCACAATACTTTATGAATTATCTACAAGTGTTTACCTTCGAAATAAACATTAATAGTATTATTAACATTTTCATAACGTAATCGTAAATATTATCCGCGTTTATAATAAAAATTAAACAGGAAAAGCTTACGTTATTTCAATACGATTAAATATTTCGCACTGAACATAACATTCAATAAATCATTAAAACAATATTACAAATGACCATTCTCAATTATTCTCACTTTAGATATAACGTGCACTATGCTTATTTCTCAATGACGACATATTTCAGTCTAAACATCAACTGCAATTTGTATAATAATAATAACCACTAAACGTCTACGCTGTGGCCTTCTTATTATTATAATCAGTTTTCATTCAATTCTAGTATTACACATGCATTTATTCCACTTCCCAGTGTATAATAATTCTCTTTACAAACACTATAAACTACTAATTTCACGACAATGGACAAGTTACAATTATCGCAGCATATATGCGGGCAATATGTTCCATCAATATCCCGCACTGTTTGAAACCGCACTAATCGAGGGAATTACAGCCACATACAATTAAACTTGACTGTACCGATCATTTATGTATTGTAAACTATTTTGTTTAATTTGTATACAAATTTGAACAATTAAAACTTAATTTGTTTTGAAATTTTCAAACAAGTTTATAGTCTATGCTAGGTACAAGTTGACCTATCACATAACTAGCAATACTTTATTGTCTACGCATTTTTTTCTGCTTTCTATAAACATTTACTAGATATTTAGTATAGTCTTCAAACACAAGCTTACGTTAAATTTATTTATTTCAGGCAACACTTGTTTGGCTTTCTGTGTAAGCTCTTCTGATCCATGCATACAAATATATTCGTCGAAACTGCTACAAATATCAGTCAAGTAAAATATAGGAAATCATTATTCGAAAATATTTGTATATTGTTGCTTCCAAATATAATTAGACCCTGCATTATTTTAACCAAATTAGTAAATATTTAGCTAAATTGCTTATTTTTCTCAAACATAAGACAATATTTAGATGCGATTAACATAGAGTTGTTGTGCAGTTTCTCTAAAACACGTCAATTAATTAGTGCATGTACGTCCTTCGCTCCAGTCAACCTCAAGATGACAATAATACCATCGCTTGTACGTGCATCAGCCGGATGACAACGTTTTCGGAACGCTTCCTGCTCGCTCCACCGACAACAGTAATTCTATTAAAACAGTAAATCCTCCGCAATACACCTAATCTCTTCCGTTCCGTGCATAAACAAATTCAATATTCATCCGATGTCTTTTTATTTCACCTCACTCGTGACCACAAACGTTTTTAATTCCCGAAGGTTACTACTTCAACGATGCGCACTTCACACTCTTCATATTTATAAACTTTAGCAAAATGCTCAATTAGTGCGGTAATGAACGTTTCTCAATAAGTTATCAGCAATTAAATAATCAACATTCGCTTTCCAATGCGAATAGTTATTTAAAAAAATATTATATATGACTTTCTATTAAGGACGTTATTCCGTTTCAAAAAAATGAAAACATAAACAGAAACATGATTCACTAGTATAATAGATAAAAATTTACCGGCGTGGGTCGCTAAATACAATTCCTAACATTATCATTACACTTTCGAAAAATTGCAGTCCTAATTGCTTCTGTTGCATTTTCAAGCATAAGTCAATGTTTAATTCATAATTTTGATTACTTTGTTGGCATAACAAATTTTAAAATTACATATTTGAATTGGTTCAGCAGATGCATATTCTTCTATGTATTATCTAACAAACTGTTCAAATTTCTTCATATATATATTTTCATGTATTACTTGTTCAAACAAAATATTATCTAATCAATTTTCCAGACTTGGAATGATATTTTAAAATTGGTTTTTCATTATTAATTAAGATTTTCAGTCAATTTTTGATAAGCATATGAAGAAATTAGCCTTACTAATAATAAATGAGTAATAAAAATTAAATAAAATATTACCTTCTCTTTACAGCTACTGAGCATAGATACGATGGAAAGACATACGGATTGTACAGAAAGAGCTGGAGACCAGTCATCCGTTAAAATTGACAGACAGATGTGTCCATTGCTATAGACATGTGGATGCACTGGTATATTAGCGCCAATAAAAGTCACCTGAAATGGATATGAAAATTTAGTGAAAGTAACAAATAAGGAGATGGCTGTGTTTACCTCTGGTGAGTCGAATGGGTACTTTCGGGAGAATTTGAATTGGAGCTGAAACTGTTCCCCCTCATACAATGTGCCAGACACACCCTCCATTTGTATGATCCATCTGAAATAAGAGTGTGCTTAGTACAGTTTGATAATGCATTTTGAGATAAGTGAATAAGTACTGCAGTATATTCTGCTCTGCAAGGTCTACATCAACTACTACCCCAGGTGGGGGCTCCTTCATGAGAGACATAAGCTCCTTCTGCAATCTCCTCTGAAACATAAGAAAACACCACACAAGTTATTTGGTTGAAGTCAAAGAATGCAAATTGTTGCAACAGATTTATTGACTTTTGGCGGAATCATAGGTAGCCTTGCCAGAACTGGCGAAGGGGATTTACCGTCACGTTTTGCGTTCTTCCATTTTTGTTTTGCGTCTCCCAACGACCGAGGGCTTGTTGTTCATATTGAAATGCGGTTTGCAGTCACGAAAATCGTTAAGGTTAATAATATCTCGGAGAAGTGAGAACCTCTTTCAGTCGGATGGGCAAAAGATAGCAGAAGGATGGATCTGTTGTTGACTTACCTCGGAAGGTGAGAGTCCTGCCATCTGAGCTGGCCGACAAATAAACTAAAATAAAACAAAAACTGTCCGCTCCTCGAGCAGCTCACGGGTTCCTTTCTGTTCCTGGCTGTTTCTTTATGTCTGTCTGTCTGTCTCTCATATGGATAAATGTCAAAGTCTTACGCAGCACACGTATCGACGCGCGCAGCCATAATCGTTAACAGCTGCGCGCATACCATGCTATGATGATGATGATAATGATGAACTATCCGGAATTTAATTGCTTCGATCTTTCGAAACGTAAACACGAAAGGGAACTGCACTCGAAATCAACCGAAAACCAGGAAACATATGGACTGAGCTGACATTTGACCTGCCCGGATAACCTGCAATTAAACGCACATAGAATCGATTTAAATATATATTGTAGTGCCGGTTGCCTACCTCACCGCACGCATGCTCTCACATTTGTTGCATCAGTGTTTCCAAACCTGCTAATACATCAGCTGTATTGATTAATAACTACAGTAAAAACGCTATGGTCGCCTGTATCACAAAAATCTGATACGAAAGGTCGTTGGTTCAATTCCGAAAAATCAACAAAAATTTGTGGTGGCTGTTAAACCCGAAAGGGGTAGAAATAGGGCCGGAGAGATTTATATCAATAAATAAATTGATATAAATCTCTTTTTATTAAAAAAATAATTAATTACAGTAAAAACCCGATTAACGCTGTTTCAGTATTACGCGGTAGAATTGGAATGGCACACGATTTTCTTGCTTTGATACTATGCCACAAAACTAGCGCGTTTCAGTACGAACGCTGTGTAACAGTTGATTTACGATTTGTCATCAACGTTATTTTTTACGTGGGACTCGTAACTCGTTTAACGTTGTTTCGTTTAGCGCTGAAACTTATTGGAACGTATCCGCCTCCCGCGTTAAGCGTATGCTTTAAACCAGTGATTCCCAAAGTGGTCTATATCGACCCTCAGGGGTCTATGACAACCTGCAAGGGGTCTACGTCAGCGAAAAAAAAAATTGGGGGGTCCACGATAGTGGATCTTAACATACACTGATAGTACTTATTTACTTACATTATACTATCTTATAATATAAAGACATATACATTATTTATAAAATTACCTATGAAGTAAAAAAAATATTATATATGTTTATAACATTGCGTAAGTTGTAAGATGTAGGCATTCGCGTTGTGGTCGCAATACATTTTGAACTTGTAAAAACCTGCACATAATGATATACCAGTATCATCTTGTTACAAGCATACGCGCAGTCTCAGAGCAAAGATCTTAATAATTATAAAGATGTCCCAATATAAATAATAAATTTACAAAAAAATCAATATCAGGTAAGTAGGGGGTCTACCCAAAACCGAAAAACTTGGCAAGGGGTCTACGACACAAAAAAGTTTGGGAACCTCTGCTTTAAACCTTCTCGCGCTATTTTTCATAGCATCGTTACTCGCGTCGCATCTGAGAAACTCCGTTTCTAAATGTTTAACTCTTTGAGGGGCTGTTGTACCACCTTTTGAATTATAAATATTTATTATTATAATTTTGTAGAAAATGTACAGGAAAGAGGAATTGCCATTTAATTTGGTTGGTAAGTCAAGGGATGAATCTTGATAGTCCATACCATCCGATGTTGATTCAGTTGACGAAGTTGTTGGATCCAGTTGTCTAGAAAATTGTTGGGTCTAGAAATTTATGGCCCCCTCGAAGAGTTAAATTTAACATCTATTGAGCAATAAAATCAATAAAATATTATCAGTTGAGAAAATATTGCTAAATCGTTGATTTAAATATGTTTGTTTGAAAAACAATGTATAAGTAAATTTATATACTACTAAGTTATGATATAGTTTCTCTTAGAAAATCTAATAAACTAGTAATAATAAAACTGTTTAGAAATTCACTTCTTCTAAGTCTGAGAATATTTGTTTGTTAAATACCAATAATACGCTTCCAATTGGAGATTGTGGACCCTTGTAAAATATCATTTGAACGATAACTATTGTAGATAAATATAGGAGATTGAAAACTAAAATCCAGTCGTCTACAAATATTTGCTTTGTCCGTTGAAACGTTTTTTTTTTCTTGATAAACTTCTTATTCATTAAATTACTTATATCTATCGGCCTATTAACGAGAAACTTTTTGATGTTAATTGCGTAACTAATTCTTTGGATACAAAATAATTATAAATTGTAAAAAGTGTACTAAATGTCGAATATGGATTTTATTATGTGAGCAGATGTTAGTTAAACATCTTAACGATTTGTTCATCAGATAAACTCGCATGAGGTCAAATAGCTAGATGAGGAGGTAAAGTGCAATTTCAGCGATATTCACGCTTGAACAAACAAAACGACAAAATATGTTTTATTAATGTTTATGATTCTGTAAGTTACAATTAGTTAGTTTGTGAACTTATCTACATATTGTATTTATTATGTAATGAGTCGACGCCACTTTCTAATTTTACTGATACAAAATCATATCATCTGATATATGTGTTTGTACAAAAAAAATAATTTACAAATTTTTCTACATGGAAAATCATTCAATAACATAGCATAATTTAAATAAGAAACATGTACCACTTTATTACATACATATAATAATAAAAATTTAAAAAAAAAAATGTTTGTTCCTAGAATGTAAACCTCTACAACAAATAAAAGTCGTAAAACTTCACTTTTCACAGTTTTCCAATAAACTTGTTGTGACTCGGTTTGTGCATCGATGCAATGATTCCATTGTAATTCACCACGTTGAATGTGTCGGAATAGTCGATGAGGAAATTGTCGCTTGTTGTCAATTTACCATCCAAACTCTCCAGAATCGCATCTCCCGCGCAAATATCCCATTTCTTTATCGCCGTGTTATGAACGTAAACATCCGCTTTACCTGCAACCACTTCAAGCACCTTAAAACCTAAAATAAGACTTCGTTAGCAACATCAAATGAATCGTATATAATTATTATAGAAACCTGATCCAGCTGCCTCAGTTATGCTAATTCTCTTCATGTTTTTCTGTAAATTCTCCTTGATCTTTCCACTGTGTGACTTTGAAACAATAACTTTCAACTCAGTGTCATCCTCCTCCTGTATTTCACCATCAGCTTCTTCATCAGCTGGAATCTATAACAAAATACTTATAGTTTGCTAAATTAAATAATGCTTGTTTTTTTTGTTGCTACCAGAATGGATTTTATGGAATTGGATTGCCCATTGCCCACCCAAGACCAGAAACTCTCATTTGAAAATGGTTTATAAATAATGCCCATGATGGGTCTTCCATTCACAGCCACACAAACCATGGTAGTGACATAGTGATACAGCTTTTCTAAAACATACAACAAAAGACCTCTTCAAATGTTTCCTTGGTAAATTCCTCAAAACAAACCTGTGTATTCCTTTGTGGCATCAAGTGGGTCAATCCAAACAGTTATGTCCTTCTCATAAACCAGAGAAGGTGGCAGTGATTTGAATTCATCCTCCTTACCAAATGAGTAATCCAGCTCATTTTCATCCTTGCACTCAGCTTTGGCCTCCTCAGAAACAACAACCACATTTGGGAAATGATGCTTTATGGTTGCTTTCATTGCACAATGTGATTGGAAATCTGCTGTGGTCACCACATCATTGAGGCCTTCTTTGGTCTTCCCCTTGCTTTGCACTGTGAGTTTATCTTTGACAGAGACCACCTCAATGCCTCCATTCTTAGCTGCTCTGATCGCAACACCTAACAGTTTCTTCAGGTCCACCTGAGGGGCATCCTTCAGAGAGTTATGGGTTGTTGCATTGCTCCTATTAGAAATCACATAAAACAATAGCAGACACGATATGCCGCAAATAATAAGAAATCCTGTTCGGTTCAGGTGTATTGCACCGCCCAAATTCATGTTGTGTAATTCAACTGTTTTTCACCGGATTCGTTAATTAACATAGTCCACTATGACCTGTAAACTAAACATTCCTAATGACTTTGGCAAATGTCACTTCAAAAAATAATAAACATGAAGTCGTTCCTTTGATACACACACACAAAGAAAGTCCATTCAAATTAAAAGAAAACTTTCTCATAGTTCATTGATTAATAATTGAGTTAAATTAAATCTTAATAAAGCCTTCGATTAGGTCATAAATAATGCAGTGAGAAATATTCTGAAGGAAAGTCACGATCATGAGGATGACGAGTTCGTGACTAAGTTCATTGTTGTAAGTTTTTATTAAAAAGAAAATCTGAAGTTCACTCAGAGCCGGTCAGTCTTAAGATTTATTTTCATTTTAATTTGTTTTTTTAATTTGGAACGTGATTAATTGCAAGCGAGTAAGTATGTAGTGAACAGTTATGGTGCAGAAGTCAAAGGTTGAACAGGTGATTGAGCAAATTAACTCAACAAATGCCAAGTGGGTGGCTTTGTTAATGGTCATTGGATTCGCCTGTTATCATGAATTATTGCATCTCAGATATGGTAAGAATGTCGCCGTCGTTTGAATCCCCTCCATGTATCTATAATTAACAACATATCATTGTTTCAAGGTTCAAACTCATGTCAATGGCTGCTCTCCAATGGAAGGTACAAGGGTGACCAAGAGTGGCAGCCGTACGGCTGCATGTTACATCACTACAGCACAATGTAAATATTCATTGCAATTAAATGGTGCAAAATTCATGTGGCTTTTGCAGAGATACAAGGAGATGCCTACGATACATAGCTTTTTATGGGAAGGAATCTCAGTTTATATTCATAGGTGATTCTAGGATAAGAGATCTGTATGTTGGTTTTGTCACACACCTTCAGCAAGGGGGTGATGTCACATCACCCCCAAATGAGGCTGAAACGAATCTCATTCATGTTGATAATAAGCTGAAAATCAGAGTTGAATTTATTTGGAGCCCAAATATCTCCAAGAAGATGGTGATGGAGTTTAAAAAGTGGAAGTCTGCGGAAACGCCGCCATCAGTTGTGATAGCAGGATGTGGCCTGTGGGTTATAAAAACAGGTAACGCGTCTGAAGCCACCCTGCAGCAATACAGTGTGAATCTGACAAGGCTAGTGCAGCCCATTGATTCTCTGCACAGGAGAGACACTAAAGTGCTCTGGGCGTTGCAAGAGCCTGTGAACACCGATAAATTGAAGTCGGATTATCATGCAGTCACTAATGAACAAATAGATCTTTACAACAAAGCAGCCATCGAGATACTGTCGTATTCGTCGGCGGAACTTTGGTGGAGCGCTCGTCTGGTAGCGCAGGGGATGCTATCAGAGAGCAAAGATGGTATACATCTAACGCCTAGGTCTTTGCAACACAATACTCAAATCTTACTTAACATGTATTGCAACGACAATATGAATTTTAACGATGGGACTTGCTGCAGCTCAGCAGAGACCTATACAATCCTTCAGATTGTAACGTTTTCTATACTCGGAGTTTGGTAAGTTTTCATTTCTTAAGTTAGAAAAAAGAAAATATTGTTATGATTAATTTGCCGTTTTCTTTTAGTGTTCTGATATTTATAATAATGGTTTTACATCGATGGTACATGAAGTGGAGAGGAAAGCCAGTGCAGGAATACATCCTATTACCGAACGAGGATAATAACATGCTTCATACGCCGATTCTCTCGATAACACCAGGAGAAGACGTGCGCACGTTGTTCAAGTCGCTGACGATAGTAGCAGTGATCATGTCGTACTTCTTCATTTGCGATCGGACCAACTTTTTTATGAAAGAAAATAAATACTACTCTGAATTCAGTTTTTGGTTACCGATAGGCTACGTGTTCGTGCTCGGGCTGTTCTTCACCGAGGATAGCAACTTCACGAAGATACTGCATAGGGATCAGATGAACGAATGGAAGGGTTGGATGCAGCTCGTCATACTGGTCTACCATATGACCGGAGCCTCTCAGATCCTGCTGATCAATATGCACATCAAGATACTCATCTCCGCGTATCTTTTCTTACTCGGCTACGAGCAGTTCGTCTACATGTTTCAGCACGGCGATTTAACGCTTGTCGGGTTGTTCAAGATGCTCTTCCAATTGAATTTTATGACCGTAACGTTGTGCCTGTGCATGAACCGACCCTACCAGTTCTACTACTTCGTTCCGCTGCTGTCCTTCTGGTATGTAATGTGCTACGCGGCGCTGGCACTGCCGCCGCTCATCACGGCCCAAAGCTCGGAGAACAATATTGCTCAGTACTTTTATTTAGTCATTAAGTTTGTGGCATTGTTCAGTGTGATTACGATATTGTTTATGTCCGAGGTTTTCTTCGAGAAGGTGTTTGTGACGAGGCCGTGGAAGGCGCTATTCGTTACGACCGACGACGACATCCACGAATGGTGGTCACGCTGGAAACTGGATAGATATTCCAGTTTGTATGGCATGTTGTTCGGGACTATCCTCCTTCTGGCGCAGAGGTACAACCTCTTCGACGATAACAACCACAACAACTTGTTCTCCAGGGGAATCGCGCTGAGCGCTACCTTGGCCAGTCTTTTGGGATTGTCCTGCTACATCCCCTTCACGTTGCTCTGCAAAACGGAGATGGACTGCAGCGAAATTCACTCGTACATCGTTTGCCTCCCTATACTCAGCTACGTCGTCTTGAGGAACATTTCGGGTGTCTTGAGGACTCGCTACTCCAGCCTCTTCGCCTGGTTCGGAAATATCTCGCTCGAACTTTTCATCAGTCAGTACCACATATGGCTCGCAGCAGACACGCACGGCGTCCTGGTGTTGATCCCAGGGTATCCAGTCCTGAACGTCATCATAACATCGTTTATATTTGTGTGCGCATCGCATGAAATCCATCGTCTCACCAAAGTTCTGCTTCCCTACGCCATTCCGGCTGATTTTAAATTGGCCCTGAGGAATCTCATATTATTCATGGCCATCCTCGTGCCCATAGGCATCAACGACGGCATGTTTTGAACAAAAAGCTTATTATAAAAATGAATTGGAGCCAAAAAGAGTGTTTGTTCATTCCTTCTTTCATTAATTTATTAAGTAAATAAATAAAATGCTCCAATTTCTTTTAAATAATAATGTATTTAATACTTAATTTATAATAAAATATTATTTACATTAAATGTTTTATTTGTTTCTTTTATCACAGCAGTCTGATAAATTCGATATGTATTTTAAATACAATTCAATGCATCATCATGAACTGACATCATCCTGAGATTCCGACTTTTCCAAAGGCAGGTAATTCTTAACATAAGATGTGTACACATCATAACCCAGGGAAATGGTACTGTCATACAGAACTCGGTACTTTGTGGGCAGGAAATAGAAATTGATGAATTGCGCTGGAGGCCAGACTATCCATTCTGCAACATACAACCTCCAAGCTTTCTGCTTAACTTCCTCAATGAAATTCTCCATGGATGATTGTTCGAGGATGGCCAGAGTTATGAAGAATGTTCCAATAACCAGAGGAGAACAAACCAATTGATCTACAACCAGTTTTCCCATAACCATTTTCATTGAGGTACCTGGCCATCTCTTGTCCAAATACTTGTAGTACCCATGGCAGAGCATACCTATTGTAACACCAGAGATGGACATATTCAGCGTTCGTCTCTGATCCCAGCTGGGCAACTCCTCCTTGAAGATTTCGTAATTTTGTTCCAAAACATCGCCAACTCCAGAAAGACCCAAGGAGATGGTTACGTTCGTGTACAGAAGGTACTTTGAACTAAATGCCACCTTAACATATTTACCGAAATTTGTGAACACACGTGTTGCCATTTTCCCATCTAATTAATACCTTCCCTCGGAAAAGCCGAAATTTTTAAATAAATTACAGGTTGAGACCTAATGTCATAACCACATGTCGATGATTACATCAAAATCTTATAATCATGAATGTAGTTGAGTATAGTTGTACATATTATACTCAGTGTTGCCAGATTTTCCAACATTTTTTATAAAATTAATTATTGCTCACTTAATAACAATTATATGGAGCTTATGCTCAATACAACATCTAATTCGACCATAATAAAAATATTCCAATGCAGTGAAACCAAAAGGGTGTCAGGAATTGAACCGTAATAATACTACTTTATTATTTAATTAAATATACTTAATAAAAATAAGTAATTTGTAAACAAAATGTGCAAATCAAATCTAATTATTTATAAATATTCTCACATCTCTGTCATTGTGAAATAATATTATATACAATATTTAATATACATACTATGTTATATAATTGTAATTAATAAAATTATTACAAAGTTTTTTTCAAGCCATTTGCAATATGTTTAAGAAATGAATGCTGTATTTTTTCCTTTTAATTAAGTTACGTAATATCAAAATACGCAGTTTTGTTGTGAATTTAAATTTTAAATCGCTTTAATCAGTGCTACCAATATATGCATTATCGATAAAAAATAGTGATGTGAAGAAGGATTCTGAATCCTTATTCGTTGGTCAATGGAATGCTTAAAACGCCATTGGTGCATTTGAAACAAAAAAACGTTTCGTCGAATGTCATCGAGGGACGCCGACAATTCGACGGTTGGTATTTTGTGTTTAGAATTTATGTGGAAGCGTGTGTGAAAGAGACGGTTTTTCGTTTACCGGAGTCCTTTTCTTGTGTAATTATACAAAAGGGCCCGGATTCTATTGATCAAGAGTGAGGAAACAATCATATCAGAATGACCGACATTCGGGTAAGAAAATTACACTTACTTTTCCTTGTTCCTAAGATTAGGTCGACAACTCTGACTTGGTTCATTACTTCTACCGTTCTATTGGAGGGAGATCTCGTCTAGGTTATTGATGCGGTGTTTCTCCGTTGTTTTTTTTTTCTTCTACCTTCAACTCGCGAAATGCCGCTTGGAATGCAATTTGCGCTGATAAATAACCTCAAATTTTTAAATATTTACAAAAATGCAAAAGAACGCCGCCAGTAACTATAGTATCTCATAAACAAACTTAATCATTTCGCTACAAGCGTTTGTTTGTTTGATAAACTAAGTCACTTTGCGTTGCGTGAAATTGCAACTGTTTTCCAAGTGAGAGCTTCAAACAAGCATCCATTGTGATTGCAGATTGCAACATGTAATTGAACTGAGAATAGAGTAAAAATATTGTTTGTGTTTATATTAATTTTATTTATTGTTTTTTTTAGTCAATGGTTTCAAAAATGGGCAAAGGTGCAGGAGATGGCCAAACAAATGGCCAAGCAGTGTCAAAAAAGCCTAACTCCATTGAGAATACCTACCAGAAAAAATCTCAATTAGAGCATATCTTGTTACGTCCTGACACATACATTGGATCTGTTGAACATGTTACAGAAAATATGTGGGTGTATGATGAAGAGAAGAAGACCATGGTACAGAGGGATGTGACTTATGTTCCAGGTATTTTTATTTATTATTGAAACAAATGTTGATTTTTTTTATATATATATTTTTTTTTCATTCACAGGTTTATACAAAATATTTGATGAAATTCTGGTAAATGCTGCTGACAACAAGCAAAGAGACAAAAATATGGACTGCATTAAAATAGAGATTAAACCAGAGGAGAATTTAATTTCTGTCTGGAATAATGGACAGGGTATTCCAGTGGTCATGCACAAGGAGGAGAATATGTATGTACCAACCATGATCTTTGGCCATCTGTTAACATCATCGAATTATAATGATGAAGAAGAAAAAGTCACAGGTGGCAGGAATGGTTATGGTGCAAAATTGTGTAATATCTTCAGTACCAAGTTCACGGTGGAGACATCCTCTTATGAGTACAGACAAAATTTTAAACAAACATGGGGAAGCAACATGACTAAAGCTTCTGAACCCAAAGTGAAGGATTCAAGTGGTAATGACTTTACAAAGATCACCTTTTGTCCGGATCTTTCTAAGTTTAAAATGGAGAAACTGGACGATGATATTGTTGGTCTTATGTCTCGCAGAGCTTTCGATATAGCCGCTTCCACGAGAGGCGTGAAAGTCTTTTTAAACGGGACAAGAGTACCAGTCAAGACTTTCAAAGATTACATTGATTTTTATATAAAGTCCAACGAAGAAGCCGTTGAAAACGGAACGACACCTAAAATAGTCCACGAAATAGTCAATGATAGATGGGAAGTCGCTATGACTTTATCCACTAAAGGCTTTCAACAAGTATCATTTGTGAACAGTATCGCAACCACGAAAGGTGGTCGTCACGTCGATTACATCGCAGATGCCCTTTGCAAGCAAATAATGGAGGTGGTCAATAAGAAGAACAAAAACGGAGCCAAGATTAAGAATTTCCAAATCAAAAGCAACATGTGGATATTTATAAACTGTCTGATTGTCAATCCCACATTTGATTCGCAAACGAAAGAAAACATGACTTTACAAGCAAAAAGTTTTGGGTCCAAGTGTGCTTTGTCCGAAAAATTTGTTAATAATGTTATTAAAACGACGGGAATCATTGAAATGATTTTATCCTGGGCCCAGTTTAAGGCTCAATCTCAGCTGGCAAAAGCTTCAGGTAAAAAGCAATCGAAAATTAAAGGTGTCCCTAAATTGGAGGATGCCAACGAAGCTGGAACAAAGAACGCTATGAAATGTACGCTGATCTTAACTGAGGGAGATTCAGCCAAATCTTTGGCCGTTTCTGGACTCGGTGTTATAGGACGCGATTACTATGGAGTATTCCCACTGCGTGGTAAACTTTTGAATGTACGCGAAGCCACGCATAAGCAGATTCTTGAGAATGCTGAAATCAACAACTTGATCAAAATTTGTGGCCTTCAATATAATAAGAAGTACAGAACTGAAGATGATATGAAAACATTAAGATATGGAAAGGTAATGGATGAATTAACTAGACATTGAGTTTATTTTCTTCAACTATTTTGTTTATTCTTTCAGATTATGATAATGACTGATCAGGATCAGGACGGATCCCATATTAAAGGACTCTTAATCAATTTTATACATTACAATTGGCCGGATTTATTAAAGATGAATTTCTTAGAGGAATTCATCACGCCCATTGTTAAGGCCAAGAAACGCAATTCAGAGCTTTCCTTTTATTCACTGCCCGAGTTTGAAGAATGGAAAAAGAATACCGATAACCATTCAACGTATGAAATCAAATACTACAAAGGTTTTTATTTTTTTTTAATTGATTGTTCTTTAAGTTTACTTTCAGTAAAAAGTATATGAAATTTAACGTTATTTAACTTTATAGGTTTGGGTACTTCGACCTCTAAGGAGGCGAAGGAATATTTTTCGAACATGGACCGTCACAGGATCAGGTTCAAATACAACGGTCAGCAGGACGATGATCATATCATATTGGCGTTCAGTAAGAAGCATATTGAGCATCGTAAGGAGTGGCTTACAAACTTCATGATAGAATCAAAGCGCAGAAAGGAATTGGGTATCGCAGAGAATTATTTGTACACGAAGGATACGAAATGCATCACGTACACCGACTTTATAAATTTGGAACTGATTTTGTTTTCGAACATGGATAACGTTCGGTCTATTCCGTGCCTGGTCGACGGGTTAAAACCTGGTCAGAGGAAGGTAATTTTCACTTGCATCAAGCGTAACGATAAGAGGGAGGTGAAGGTAGCGCAATTGGCGGGTTCCGTAGCCGAGCATTCGGCGTACCATCATGGTGAACAGTCTCTTTGTATGACTATCGTGGGTTTGGCCCAAAACTACGTAGGTAGTAATAATATAAATCTGCTGGAACCTCGTGGTCAATTCGGAACTCGTCTAACTGGTGGCAAAGACTCTGCTAGCCCCAGATACATTTTCACGAAGATGTCCCCACTTACACGTTTGATTATCCATCCCAACGATGATCCACTTCTCAAACACGAGTATGATGACAATCAGAAAATTGAGCCTACATGGTACATTCCTATTATTCCGATGATTTTGGTAAATGGCGCAGAAGGTATTGGTACAGGTTGGAGTACGAAAATACCCAACTACAATCCCAGAGAGATTGTAAGAAATCTCAGATGTTTGTTGAACAACGAATCCGTGACGCCTATGATTCCTTGGTACAAAAACTACAGAGGGACTGTCGACGATTGTGGAGACAGCAGATACGTTACAAGCGGTGAAATCGCGATCATCGATGACGAGAAATTGGAAATTACAGAGTTACCAATATCCGTTTGGACGCAAACGTACAAAGAAAACGTCCTGGAAATTTTATTGAACGGTAAGTGAACTTTTAACACATGAATTGATTGCAATCATTTATTAAATTATTGTTTAGGTACGGACAAGGTGCCAGCAACTATAACAGATTACAAGGAATACAACACTGATACAACAGTAAAATTTGTTGTTAAAGTATCCAGGGCTGAATTCAATAAAGTCGAAAAAGAGGGATTCCACAAAGTGTTCAAGTTACAAAACACCCTCTCGATATCTTCGATGTGTCTATTTGATGATTTAGGTTGTCTGAGGAAGTAAGTCTATAAAATATAAAACAAATTAGTTTTGTATTAATATATATTTTCTAGGTTTGAATCTGTAATGGATATATTAAGCGAATACTATCAATTGCGTTTAAATTTGTACGTGAAACGTAAAGATTATCTAGAGGGAATGTTGGAGGCTGAAGCATCGAAGTTATCATTCCAAGCTCGTTTCATTTTGGAAAAGTGTAACGGTGATTTAGTGGTTGAAAATAAGAAACGCAAAACGATCATAGATGATTTGCTTAAAGTTGGGTACCTTCCGGACCCCGTTAAAGAATGGAAAGAGCGTCAAGCAATTGATGAAGATGCTCCCTTACCAGAAGATGATGTCGTTGATGAGGACGAAGCAGGTGCTTCGGAAAAGAATTTCAGCAAGTTGACAGATGTAAAGAAATTCGATTATTTGCTCGGTATGTCGATGTGGATGTTGACCGATGAAAAGAAGAATGATTTGCTGAAACAGCGTGATCAAAAACTAACTGAACTGGCTACGCTGAAGAAGAAGACAAATGCGGATCTGTGGCGGGAGGATTTGGATGCTCTTATGGAAAAGCTGGACTCTGTCGAGGAAAAAGAGAGGAAAGACGAGCTTGGTGAGGTGAAAACGGCGGTGGTGAAAGGATCCAAAAAGAAGGCCAACTTAAATGAAACAAGGCCCACGGCGCACAGTGAACGCATCGCTCCGATTATAAGTGAAGACATGAAGAAGAAAATTCAGACGGCGGCCAAGGCTAACCAAAGGAAGATTAAGAAAGTTAAGAGCGAAGGTGGCACCGGCGAAGAAGAAGATGAATTTGATAACATGGTGAAGAGTACTAAGACCATTAAGGATAAAGTGGGTACACCGGAATCAGTCGAAGCTAAAAACAAACGAGGAAAAAAGAAGGCCCCGTCCAAAGATGGTATGAAACAAACAACTCTTAACTTCACGAAAGTCAGTCCTAAAGGTTTGTTGATTTACTATATATTGTCTATTAACATCATTTTTCTATTTACGTTATATTTGAACTGAATTGTTTTTGTATTATGCACAAGTTATGCATTTACTTGAATAATATTCAATTTGCATGTTGCAGCTAATGGTAAAGGCAAAGGAAAGAAAAAGAACTTCTCCGATGACAGCGCAAGCGGTTCCGATGAAGAATTTGTGGCGAACGTTTCATCTCCACCAAAAGATCGGTCAAGGCGTAACATTACACAGAAGAAGTACAATATCGATGATTCCGATGCAAGTAATCATGGCATCGAAAATGATGACGATGATGACTTGGAATTGCTCGATAACGAAGCTGTTACCAAGGATAATAGCGTGAAGGAGGCTATGATTATAAACAGCGACAGCGACGAGGAGCCAACACCACCACCTAAGAGTATGGATAACAGCGAGGTTCTATTCGATGAGCTTATCGGCAAGAAAAAGACACCTGCCCCGAAGAGGAAACGAGCGATTAAGGACAAGTCGCAGGACGACAGCGACGATGATTTCGAAATCGATTCGAAGAAAACCAAGCCGAAGGCTTCCGCCAAAAAGAAGAAGGTGGTGGACAGTGACTTTGAAGATGAGATCTCCAGTCCACCCGTAAAACCCGCAGGTCGGGGACGCGCCAAGAAAGCCGCGAAGTACTTCGACGACGGTGATTCCGATTCTTTTTGAGGTAAACGGCCTAGGTGAAAATTTGTTTAAAGAATGAAAAGGAATAGTGAGTAATAAGAATCTGATGAAGAAGAATGTTCCCCCTCCCACACATACACACACAAATTGTTTATTTTTTATAAGGAACAAGATTTTATTTTAGAGAATTATTATATTTAACTTCGTTTAGTTTTTTATAATTATAACCACTTTGTATTTTGATAATTTAATGAACTGACTGTGAATTTTCTTTTTTTAACCAATATAAATATGTTTGATGGACACTGTTGTATTAGATGACTGAATGGGAGAAGCAAATCAAGGCAAACGTTCCATACAGTTTTTTTTTGAAATATTTTGTAATTAATAATATATATATTTATTTATGTGTCTGTAAGTAACTTTCAATTTATATTACAAGAAACTTGAGGCATGTTGTATTTGATTTCCAATTACAAATTTGTCTTTCAATACTTAATGATAATTATATTTTGTGAGTTATATTTTTTAATAAATTTAGTTTAAATTTTACTCATATTTTTTACTCTATCGTACCCACAATTTTATAAATATAATCGTATTTGAAAAGTTAAGCTGTAAATTTTTTGAAATTAATTCCGAACTTGGCCAGTAAAAGAGCCGCGAGTTGCCGACCCCTGTTTTAGACAGACACCACCATCATTTGAAACAGAAATAAGGCTGTTTTTATATGATTGTAAAAGGGTATTATTATGAAAAACACAAGCAAATAAACAATCCGTTAGTTTCATTTATTGTTTATGTAATATATTGAAGCCTACATTCAGTCAACAAACGAATTGGCAGTTGCATTATTTATTAATATCGCAAATATCATCATTACATGGTACTAAAAAATAACAACGACAAAAAAAAATCTACTTGTAGTAAAATTTCTATTGTTTCCATCCACAACATCTTAAAAACGCATCTCAGCTCATCCCGTCATATTGTTCTTTTGTGTATATAAAATAAGCCACTCCATCATACTCTTACTTCTTGACCACAAGGGAATCAAGGTACTCTGTGTAATCTTTACCAATCTTCAGTAAGGCAACACCAGTGCCCACACCACATGCTGTGCACAGAGCAACATTCTGAGGGACAACACTCCTGAGTATAGCCCAAATTAAAATTGAACCCAATGAGAATGTCACAGCTCCAAAAGCACTGCAAAAAGAAGAACATTCAAAATATTTGCATTTTTTTTTTAAATGAAAACAATGTTACCCATAGAGGATTTTTTGCTGCTTTGTTAATTTACTCATATGCGGTCTGTTATACAAATACAGACTCGCACCTACAAGAGTGTGAGCGAGAAGCACATTCGTGATATCCTTCTTTGGGAACAATCTGCAACAGAGGACAGAAATAACGATGAGACGTTGTTTACATTTAAATTATATAATATGTGAGGTTATGCGCGAATATACGTTATATGCGTATATTATTCCATTTTATGTTCATCGAATTCATTCGTACCTCAACACGAGCGATGGATTCATAACATTCACGGAGAGTGCTGTGTAACTCAGGACACCCTGGATCGGAGCGTAGTAGAAGAGTATATTGTTGGTGTTCAATGGTTTCAAACCCAACTTTCCACAGAGCGAAACCCTCGCGTCAGCAGCTGAAGCCATCTTTCTGTTATTTGATAATCTCTGTAAAGAGTGTCGATGCAATTAGATCACGAGAAAATTTATTAGAACTTTTCGCCAAAACACTGCTAACAAAAAAATATCAAAATTGCGAACTGTGACACGTGAAGTTGCTGAACGTATGTTCCTTATGTTGGCAACAATTTCAACTCTCCTGATCAATTAGAAATAGTTTATTTGTAAATTGCAATTAAAAGTAATTACTTTCTAATTGAATTCAATAAACACCACAACATATTCTAGTATATATTTTTTATAAATTTTCATTATCCAAGTCAGGCAACCAAATTAGCATCACATGTGTAACTATTACATATATCAAAACTTGTGTAATTGATAAATATATATGTTTTTGAATTAAGTTTAAAGTTTATATTAAATTGAAGGTTGGTAGTGTCCACGCCTAAAGCAGTGTTTCTTAATTATATACATCTTAAATATGTTGATATTTACTTCATATTGTTCTGCAGGATTAAATTACTTTAAGTAAGCCAAAACAAGAGGAAATAAATCTATGAAGAAGTACAAAAATATATACATATATTTATGATAATTTACATCCAGTCTTTTTGACAAAATAATATATAAATGATTGGATATTAACTACGTGTTTCAGTATGTCACTTCTATGAAGCTGAACAAACAGAAATACACGTTCATTGCGAACAAAACCAACACATCTTTTAATTTGAACTTAATATAAGGACCTAACACGTACAGCAGCATATATTCAATAAATGTACTAAATAGAACGAGCAGCATAAAGTAGAACAAAACGCGCATTTTCAATAAATTTCTTATGTAAAAAAAATGCACCAATGTCCTAAAATAAACATGTTAATTGCATAATTTTAATAATACTTATGATATACTCACAAATTGTATAATCCTTGAACGAAAAGCGAATTAGGTATGTTTTTTGTTTTGTTTTGTAGGGGTTTGATTCAATGCAAATGCGACATCGAGCGTCTTTGCTGCTCCGATTAATAATTGTATTCTATGTGCAATAGTTTAGTTGCACATCTGATCAATACGTTGCACAACCTGTAAACTGTACTTTCGTAACACCATCTGCAATGCATCCTCTAAACAAACTTGTCGAGTATCGAAAATAACGGATTGCATAGATGGCGAGATATTTCGACATTATTTTATAATGTCTACGTTATAAAATATGAAGAAAACAAATATATCACAAACTGAGAAAATGAGCTAACTAGATACAAGATGAAGTCGTAAACGTCATTTATTTAAACTTTAAATTGAATTATTTGTTACGTAATTATTGATGATTGTAAACAATAATGATATTTGGAAAATTCATTAACAATAGTTATTTTGTATGAAAAATAAGATAAAGTATTTCAGTTCATTACTTATATGTATATATATATTTGTATTCATGCAATTATGAATGACTTTTCTATTGACACATGTCAAAACATTGATATTATCTTTATTATATTTTTTGGTGGATGCGCCAGGATAAAAACACAAACATGCAATTAGTAAATATATGTTTTTAATACAAATTAATATTAAATAATAATTGTTAAAAGGAAGAAACACATGTATTTTGGGAAACTAATGAACAACATTTATATTGTATCTAAACTAAATGAATCAACTTAAAAATTAAAGTTTTATTGATTATGTATTAATTTTCTAATTAGGTAACTGAACAGTCTATTTATAAAATATTATTATAAAAATATAAATATTTATTTACTTATACCTCGAATAGTCCGGGTAATCCAATATCCCGGACAATTTGAAGCCGCACCAAAGGAGGCTTGAGTGATTAAAGGAAAAATAAAAGCATAACTATTTTTTTTAAGAATTTATTTTGATAACTAAAATCATCAACTAACAAAATTGTATGGTTATATTGTATTCTTACAAAAATAAATAAAATCTTCGTTTTGGTCATCAACTATAAAAATATTTTTGCTATTTAGATAACTATTTTTTTTGAGAATCATATAATGCAAGTGAGAATGGAATGAGAATAATCATATTGTGTTTAATCAAGATATACGAAGTGGGTTATTTAATGATCCACCACCAGGCAGCTAAGGAAACTCAAAACCACATTGATGGAGAGGAAAACATATAAATCTTTCATCTTGACCTCTATGTAAGCCCCGAAGAAGGATATTAAAGTATACTCAATGCTTATACTGTAGAGTACGCAGTAGGTAAAGTACCATAAAACGCGCAAATTGATCATCTTGACTCTCCTCTAAGATTGCTCTTATCACCTGAAAACTAACATTAAATTGAATCTTGTTTGTAAATATTTAAATTTATATACTCACAGATGTAACGTGATCAGCAAAAAATTTCGCAACAGCGCTGTATGCAGTTTTAGTTACAAATCAGATCAATAATTGTACGCATCCCACAAAACTGTCCTTTCACAACACCACCTTCAGTGGATGCTGCGAATAACTTGTTGAGCCTTGAATGCGAATCTTCGATAAATACTATGAACGGCGCAGCTATGTTTCAAATCGGCGCAGCAGATGTCGTGACAAACACAGTTATATGTCAACTTATAATAAAAGTTGAATACATATAAATGTAAATAAAATAAACTATTGCAAAAGTGATTATTAAAATAACTCTATATAATCTTTCGCTTTTGTATCTTGACAACAACAAAATAAGCTAATTATAAAAATTGATACAAGAATTTTTAAATTAATTTGAAAAATTAACATTGAAAATGTTCATTTATCTATTAGACATATAAACAAATTCAACAATTATTGACTTTTTTTTTGACACATGTCAAAATATTGATATTATGTTGTTGATTTTTGAAAAGCACACAAATGTGTAAAATATTTATTTCTGAATAATAATTAATTTTCTATTGAAATATGTCAAAATATTGATTTTATTATTATGATACATTTTCGTGGATGCGTTAAAAACACACAAAAATAAACGCGATAAACTTGATTAATTTTAATATTTTTTAATTATATTATTAACATCAATCATGGTTTAATAAAGAAATGTATCAGTGTATGATATTTAATTAAATGTAATAATGAATAATAAATGACATGGTTACAAATGTTGTTAAAAATTAATCAAATTAAGAAATTGTGGATGACTGCAAACAATAATGATATTTGGAATATTCTTTAACAATAGTTATTTTGTATGAAAAATAAGATAAAGTATTTCAGTTCATTACTTATTTACATATATATATATATATTTGTATTCATGCAATTATAAATGACTTTTCTATTGACACATGTCAAAACATTGATATTATGTTTATTATATTCTTTGGTGGATGCACCAGGATAAAAACACAAACATGCAATTAGTAGAAATATGCTTTTAGTACAAATTAATAGTAAATAATAATTGTTAAAAGGAAGAAACACATGTATTTTGGGAAACTAATGAACAACTTTTATATTGTATGTAAACTAAATGAAACAACTTAAAAATTAAAGTTTTCTTGATTATGTATTAATTTTCTAATTAGGTAACTAAACAGTCTATTTATAAAATATTATTATAAAAATATAAATATTTATTTACTTATACCTCGAATAGTCCGGGTAATCCAATATCCCGGTCAATTTGAAACCGCACCAAAAGAGAGTGATTAAAGGAAAAGTTAAAAAAACTATTTTTTTTGAGAATTTATTTTGATAACTAAAATCATCAACTAACAAAATTGTATGGTTATATTGTATTCTTACAAAACTAAATAAAATCTTCGTTTTGGTCATCTACTATAAAACTATTTTTGCTATTTAGATAACTATTTTTTTTAAGAATCATATAATGCAAGTGAGAATGGAATGAGAATAATCATATTGTGTTTAATCAAGATATACGAAGTGGGTATTTTAATGACGCAGCAGGCAGCCAAGGTAAGTAAAAACCATATTGACGAAGAGGAAAACATATAAATCTTTCATCTTGAACTCTATGTAATCCCCGAAGAAGGATATTAGAGTATACATAATGCTTATACTGTAGAGTACGCAGTACGTAATGTACAATAAATCGCGCAAATTGATCATCTTGACTCTCCTCTAAGATTGCTCTTATCACCTGAAAACTAACATTAAATTGAATCTTGTTGGTAAATATTTAAATTTATATACTCACAGATGAAACGTGATCAGCAAAAAATTTCGCAACAGCGCTGTATGCAGTTTTAGTTACAAATCAGATCAATAAATCTACGCATCCCTCAAAACTGTCCTTTCACAACACCACCTTCAGTGGATGCTGCGAATAACTTGTTGATCCTTGAATGCGAATCTTCGATAAATACTATGAACGGCGCAGCTATGTTTCAAATCGGCGCAGCAGATGTCGTGACAAACACAGTTATATGTCAACTTATAATAAAAGTTGAATACATATAAATGTAAATTAAATGAACTATTGCAAAAGTGATTATTAAAATAACTCTATAAAGTCTGTCGCTTTTGTATCTTGACAACAACAAAATAAGCTAAGTATAAAAATTGATACAAGAATTTTTAAATTAATTTGAAAAATTAACATTGAAAATTTTCATTTATCTGTTATATATAAACAAATGCAACAATTATTGACACATGTCAAAATATTGATATTTTTGAAACGCACAAAAATGTGTAAAATATTTATTTCTGAATTAATTTTCTATTGAAATATGTCAAAATATTGATATTATTATTATGATACATTATCATGGATGCGTTGGGTTAAAAACACAAATAAACATATTTGACAATATTTGTACATAAATAAAATAAAGCAATGTGTAGATATCCGGTTTTGGTATTAAATTTTTGAGTAAAAAGTACGAAAACTAAGAAAATTAGCTTGTTTATGAAGTAATTAACAGTTAAGCGATAGTTAAAACTTAGGTTAAGTTGAGTTAAGGTAAATCATTTCGTTTTATGTTATATCTATCTATTTGTATTTATGCATTTCAGAATGACTTTTCTACTGACATATGTCAAAATATTGATATTGATTCTATTGACATATGTCAAAGTATTGACATTATGTTGTTGACATGAAAGTATCCAAAACTTAGGTTAAATTATATAATTTGTATTCATGTATTTTTGAATGACTTTCCAATTGACATATGTCAAAA